TTTTGTATTTTTAGTAGAGATGGAGTTTCACCGTGTTAGCCAGGATAGTCTTGATCTCCTAACTTCGTGATCCACCCACTTCGGCCTCCCAAAGTGCTGGGATTACAGGTGTGAGCCACCGCGCCCGGCCACACCTGGCTAATGTTTTATGTTTTTTGTATAGATGGAGTCTTGCTATGTTGCCCTAGCTGGTCTTGAACTCCTGGGCTGAAGGGATCCTCCTGCCTCAGCCTCCTAAAGTGTTAGGATTACAGGCATGAGCCACCATGCCCGGCCCAGGTGCAAGGCCTTTGACACCACTCACCCACCAACCCCCAAATCCAGCTGAGCTTTCTGCACAGGGTGGCAGCCCTGGGAGGAATGAAATGAGGAAGGCGGATGAGCCAACCGGGGCAGACAGCAGAGGCCTCACCCGGTCACATGGGCCCCCACGTCCTGGGCCTCTGGGCCTCCCCAGGAGCCTCCTAAACCCCAGAGCTGTCCGTACCCCTGACCTGCTGAGATCTCCCCATCCTGTGGCTCTCCAACCCAGGAGGTCACCAGGGCCTGGCATGGAGTCCTCCCTGCAGTCCAGAGATGGGGACACCAAAGTGGTGGGAATGACGGGGACTACAGAGAGTAAGAAACTACTTGGTCAGGTGCGGTGGATCATGCCTGTCATCCCAGCACTTTGGGAGGCCAAGGCGGGCAGATCACCTGAGGTTGGGAGTTCAAGACTAGCCTGACCAACATGGTGAACCCTCATCTCTACTAAAAATACAAAAAATTAGCCAGGCATGGTGGTGCTTGCTTGTAATTCCAGCTACTCAGGAGACTGAGGCAGGAGAATTGCTTGAACCTGTGAGGCGGAGGTTGCAGTGAGCCAAGATTACACCACTGCACTCCAGTCTGAGCAACAGAGTGAGACTCTGTCTCAAATAAAAAAAAAAAAAAAGAAACTGGTGACCACGTTAGGAACATGCAGGCAACCAATGCCCCAAGCTTGGGACAGTAGCAGGCAGGCCAGGAATTCAAGGGAAATAGAAGTGCCCGGGAGGGGCCAGGCGCAGTGGCTCACGCCTGTAATCCCAGCACTTTGGGAGGCCGAGGCGGACTGATCCCTTGAGGTCAGGAGTTTGAGACCAGCCTGCCCAACACAGTGAAACCTCTTCTCTACTAAAGATACAAAACATAGCCAGGAGTGGTGATGCGTGCCTATCATCGCAGCTACTCAGGAGGTTGATACAAGAGAATTGCCTGAACCCGGGAGGCAGAGGTTGCAGTGAGCCGAGATGGCACCATGGCACTCCAGCCTGGGCGACAGAGCGAGACTCAGTCTCAAAAAAAAAGAAGTGGCTGGCAGGATCTGGAGACAGATTGGAGCCTCCCCACCTCCTTCCCTTCCTCCTCTGCCCTCCCCCGCCCCACCTCCAGCAGCCCCCACCCTGTGTGCTGGCCGTGGAGCAGAAGCCACAGTCACTTCCTGAAGGCAGCGGCCCCAGCTCGGGTCCCACTCATCCCGTGGCCCATCACCTGCCTGCAGCCATGGTGAGTACGGGGAGAGGCCTGTGCCTCGATAGCCGGGAAGCAAGGGACCCAGGTGTTCCCTGGAGGATAGGATCCACCGGTGGAGGGGCAGGGGGCGCTGCGAAAGACATCTGGGAAACGGGAAGGGTCAGCAAAAAGGACCCGAGGTAGGAGGCCGCCAGGCACACCCCAGGACAGCGCGGGCTCCTGGGGGCTCAGGCTCAGATTGGGACTGCGAGGGGGACAGATGGGACTACCCGGGGGGACGTCTCCCGTCTCCTTAGGTCAACATGAGCAGCAATGTGGGAACGGGCAGCTGGGGTGAGAGCAGTGCTTTCCTGTGGGGTGACAAAGTGGGTCATGGCCCTCCCCCGACCAGTCACCCAAGTTGTGACCTGCTAACCCTGACTTATCTAGCCTTGTGGTCACCCGGGAGCACTTCCTTCAAACCACTGGGGGCTTCGGCAGGGGCACTTCAGGCCCCAGGTGGGAATCGCTGCCTTTTCAAGGAGCACTCCTGGTCTCTGGTCCTCTGGATGGGGAAAATGAGGTACACACAGGAGGTAAAGGCCACACGCTTCTGCCCTTGCCCTCCCCCAGTCTCCTCGACCACAGGTGAAGGGGGCGTTTGTAGGGCCAAGGAGGCCTGGCCTGCTTGTGAATCTGCCTACATTCTTGTGGCAGTGGTTGCAGGGCCAGCTAGGAGGGCAGCTGGGACAGCTGGGTGTGCAGGAGACGGCACATGTGCCAACGGTGTCCGCACCGGTCCTCTCAGGCACTGTCAACTGTGAGCATTCCTGACCATCAGCCCGCATGTCGGAGACGGTGTGAGAGGGACCGCATAGCCGTCTCCAGGCGTCTCTGTGTTTTCCTAATGGTCAGTCTGAGTACATGACTGTCTTTGTGCCGCCTAAATATTGTTTAGTTCAGCAAATATTTACTGAGCACCTACTATGTTCCAGGCCCTGGGAAGATAGCAATGAATGAATGAGCCAAGTCTCTGCCTTGCAGAGGCTGAGGAACTGGGGGAAGTTGCGGTATCGAGAGACAAAAAAAAAAAAAAAATTTTCAAGACACATTAAAAGCAATGTAAAATAGTATGATACATGGGGTGGGTACGATGGGGAAAATCATGTATGCTGACTGCACAGGGCAGTAGTGGGATGGGGTGATCCATTTAAAATAGGGTGGTCTAGGCCAGGTGTGATGGCTCATGCCTTGCAATCCCAGCACTTTGGGAGGCTGAGGTGGGCGGATCACTTGAGGTCAGGAGTTTGAGACCAGCCTGGCCAACATGGTAAAACCCCGTCTCCATTAAAAATACAAAAAATTAGCCGGGCGTCGTGGCAGACACCTGTGATCCCAGCTACTCAGGACACTGAGGCAGTAGAATCGCTTGAACCCAGGAGGCGGAGGTTGCAGTGAGTTGAGATTTCGCCACTGCACTCCAACCTGGGGACAGAGTGAGACTCCGTCTCAAAAAAAAAAAAAAAAAGAAAAGAAAAAAGAAAGAAAAATAGGGTGATCTAGGCCGGGCACGGTGGCTCACACCTGTAATCCCAGTACTTTGGGAGGCCGAGGCGGGCGGTCACCTGAGGTCAGGAGTTTGAGACAAGCCTGGCCAACATGGTGAAACCCTGTCTCTAGTAAAAATACAAAAATTAGCCAGGCGTGGTGGCGGGTGCCTGTCATCCCAGATACTCAGAGGGTTGAGGCATGAGAATCATTTGAACCTGGGAAGCGGAGATTGCAGTGAGCCAAGATCACGGATTGCACTCCAGTCTGGGTGACAGAGCAAGACTCCATCTCAAAAAAGTAAAAATAAACCAATAAAATAGGGTGGCCTCAGACGGCCTCTCTAATAAGGAAATATGAGAACAGAGACTGGGAGGAGGAAGAGGAGAGAACCAGGTAGTGCAGGGACATGTCCTGGGTCAGGGACAGGGCAGAGGCCCCGAGGTCAGAGGGAAGTGTTCAGGGTGCAGGGAGGAGGAGGTGGCTGGGTGGGGAGGCTGGTTTGCCCAGGCCTTTATGAGGCATTTAGCTTGAACTACAGGGACATGAGGAAGCATTGCCAGGTTTTGAGCAGAGAGACACAAACAGACTCAGGGCTCAACAGGCTTCTCCCTCCCGCTGCCATGGGGGGAACTGACCAGGGAGGGGGGTAGGCAGTGACTGGGGAAGGGCTTGTTAGAATAATCCAGGCAGTTGGTTGGGGGAGGGCAGACGCTGCCTCCCACTACCTCCTGGGGTGACAACGGTGAAGGCAGTGAGAAGTGGTTGGATTCCGGATGTGTTTTGAAATTAGCACAGAAGGGACTCCAGGCCTGGGCGTGGCGGCTCAAGCCTGTAATCCCAGCTACTCGGGAGGCTGGGGGATCATTGGAGCCCAAGAGTTGGAGGCTGCAGTGAGCTGTGATTACACCACTGCACTCCAGCCTGGGCAATGGAATGAGACTGGAGACATGCAGTGTGGGGGTGAAAGAATGAGGGGGTCAAGGATGCTGGGGGGTTGGGGTACCACCCATGCGGGGAGGGCTGTGGGACTGGAGGCTGCAGGAGGGATGTCAGGAGTTCCACTCCTGCTAGAGGAGGTTGGGTGTGGAATCAGCACTAAATGGAGAAGTAGGGAGGGGTGTGGGTTCCAGGATCCTAGGATCAATGGGGGCTCCTCAGAAAGAGAGCCGAGGGCTGATGGGGCCTGGGTGCAGGGGTGGTGGTTGTGGGCTGTGCCTGAGGGTCCCCAGTCCCTTCCTTCCATGCCCCTTCTGTGTGTTTGAGCCCCTGCCTCATTGGCTGTATGTCTCCTAGGAGAGCCATCAGGACTTCCGGAGCATCAAAGCAAAATTCCAGGCCTCTCAGCCGGAGCCCAGCGACCTGCCCAAAAAACTCCCGAAGCCTGAGTTCAGTAAACTCAAGAAGTTCCCCCAGCCTGAGCTAAGCGAGCACCTCAAGAAACCCCCGCCGCCTGAGGTCACTGACCTCCCCAAGAAGCCTCCGCCGCCTGAGTTCACTGACCTCCCCAAGAAGCCTCCGCCGCCTGAGTTCACTGACCTCCCCAAGAAGCTCCGGCCGCCTGAGTTCACTGACCTCCCCAAGAAGCCTCGCGCCGGGCTGAGTACTGACCTCCCAAGGAAGCCTCCGCCGCCTGAGTTCACTGACTCCCCAAGAAGCCTCCGCCGCCTGAGTTCACTGACCTCCCCAAGAAGCCGTCCAAACTGGAGTTCAGTGACGTCTCCAAGAAGTTCCCCCAGCTGGAGGCCACTCCATTTCCAAGGAAGCCCCCGCAGCCTGAGGTCGGTGAGGCCCCTGTGAAGGCCTCGCTGCGGGAGCCCAATACGCCTGTCCGGAAACCCCAGCAGTCCGACGAGCTCAGTCACCCCGCCAGACCCCCATCTGAACCCAAATCCAGTGCATTCCCCAGGAAGCTCTGGCAGCCCGAGGCCAGTGAGGCTACCCCAAAGCCCCCGCAGCCTGAGTTCAGTACCTTTCCCAAGAAGCCCGCGCAGCCTGAGGTCAACATGCACCCCAAAAAGCCCCCACAGCCTCAGGTCGGTAGCCTCCCTAAGACGTCCCTGCCGCAGCCTGAGTCCAGTGACGTCCCTCAGACACCGCCCTGGAAGCCTGAGGCCACTGAGTCCCTCCCCCACTCCCCGAAGCCCAACTTCAGTAGCATTCCCAAGAAGGCGGTGCAGCCCGAGTTCATTGTGCACCCCAGAAAGCCCCCACAGCCTCAGGCGGATGGCCTCCCTAAGAAGTGCGTGCCGCAGCCTGAGTTCAGCGAGGCGGCTCAGACTCCTCTCTGGAAGCCTCAGTCCGGTGAGCCGAAGCACGACTCCAGCGCCTTTCCCAAAAAGGCCTCCCAGCCTCCGCTGAGTGACTTTCCCAAGAAGCCTCCGCAGCCGGAGCTTGGGGACCTCACCAGGACCTCCTCAGAGCCCGAAGTCAGCGTGCTTCCCAAGAGGCCGCGGCCCGCCGAATTTAAAGCGCTCTCCAAGAAGCCCCCGCAGCCCGAGCTGGGCGGCCTCCCCAGGACCTCCTCAGAGCCCGAGTTCAACTCCCTCCCCAGGAAGTTGCTGCAGCCGGACCGCCGGGGGCCACCCCGCAAGTTCTCACAGCCTGAACCCAACGCTGTCCTCAAGAGACACCTGCAGCCTGAGTTCTTCGGTGATCTCCCTCGAAAGCCTCTACTCCCCAGCTCCGCTTCTGAGAGCTCACTGCCTGCGGCCGTGGCCGGCTCCAGCTCCCGGCACCCGCTCAGCCCTGGGTTTGGAGTTGCTGGGACACCCCGCTGGAGGTCAGGAGGCCTTGTTCACAGTGGAGGGGCCAGGCCAGGCCTCAGACCCAGCCATCCACCCCGGCGGAGGCCTCTGCCCGCTGCCAGCAGCCTGGGACCCCCTCCAGCCAAGCCTCCGCTGCCCCCGGGCCCCGTGGATATGCAGAGCTTTCGGAGACGCTCTGCAGCATCCACAGGTGGGTGAGGGCGGGCGGCACCGGCAGGAGGCGGGGCTGAGATCCCAGGCAGTACCGGCCTCCCTGCCGCACTCTCTACCCCACAGATCTACGGAGGACCCGCTCGGCCGCTGCGCTCCACTTCCAGGCCCGACAGCCTGAAGACATCCCGCCGTGAGTGTGGGGAGGAAGCTGGGGTGGGTGCAGATTGTGGGGCTCAAAGGGGCCTCATCTCGGCCGGGAGCAGTGACTCACGCCTGTAATCCCAGCACTTTGGGAGGCCGAGGCAGGCCAATCACCTAAGGTCAGAGGTCAAGACCAGCCTGGGCTACATGGTGAAACCCCGTCTCTACTAAAAATACAAAATTATCTGGGTGTGCTGGCGCATGCCTGTAATCCCAGCTGCTCGGGAGGCTGAGGCAGGAGAATTGCTTGAACCTGGGAGGCGGAGGTTGCAGTGAGCCAAGATCATGCCATTGCATTCCAGCCTGGGCAGCAAGAGCAAAACTCCATCTCAGAAGAAAAAAAAAAAATTAGCTAGGCGTGGTGGGGGGCACCTGTAATCCCACCTACTCGGGAGGCTGAGGCAGGAGAATCGCTTGAACCCGGGAGGCGGAGGCTGCTGTGAGCCGAGATCACGCCCCTGCACTCCAGCCTGGGTGACAGAGCAAAACTCCATCTCAAAAAAAAAAAAAAAAAAAAAAAAAGAGGCCTCATCTCAGGTATCCCCGCAGGATCCCAGATGAAATCTACGAGCTGTATGACGACGTGGAACCCAGAGATGACTCCAGCCCCAGCCCCAAGGGCAGAGGTTTGTTGGTGGCCTGCCCGAGTCCCTGCAAAACATTCGGGGCAAGGGCATTTTCTGCCATGCTCCTGGTGTAAGAGCAAGTAACATTTTAGGACCTGCTGGCTCCTGCTGGGTGGAACTACATGAGGGGAGCCCAGAGGCCAAGGGCCACTGAGAAGGCTGTTGTAGGCAAAGGTGTGGCCCAGGCTGGCAGCAGGAGGCGTGGGAGCAGTGGGCGAATCCAGTAATCAAAAGCAAGCATCAGGCCGGGTGCGGTGGCTGATGCCTGTAATCCCAGCACGTTGGGATCCCGAGGCAGGAAGATCATTTGAGCCAATCCCAGGGCTTTGGGAGGCCAAGGCAGGAGGATCCCATAAGCCCAAGATTCCAGACCAGCCTGGGCCACAGAGCAAGACCTCATCTCTACAAAAAAATTTAAAAATCAGCCAGGCGTGGTGACAAGCATCTGTAGTCCCAGCTATTTGGGATGCTGAGACAAGAGGATTGCTTAGGTCCAGGAGGTCAAGATTGCAGTGAGGCTGTGACTGCACCACTGTACTCCAGCCTGGGCAGCAGACACCCTGTCTCAAAAAAAAAAAAAAAAAAAAAAAGCAGGACTGGTGGGGTATATAAAAGCAGGGAAGTTTCAAGCCTGGTATCCAAGTCATGACAGAGCCGCTCCTGGGTTGACGACAAGATGTTAGGTTCCATTCATCCATCCATCCATCCATCCATCCCATCCATGCCTCCCATCCATCCATTTATTTATTTATTTGAGACGGAGTCGTTGTCTGTCACCCCAGGCTGGAGTGTAGTGGTGCGCATCTCAGCTCTCACGCAACCTCCGCCTCCAGCGTTCATGCCATTCTCCTGTGTCAGCTTCCCAAGTAGGCTGGGACTACACGGTGGCCCACCACCGACGCCGCTAATTTTTTTGTATTTTTTAGTAGAGACGGGGTTTCACCGTGGTCTCGATCTCCTAACCTCGTGATCTGTCCACCTTGGCCCCCCAAAGTGCTGGGATTACAGGCATGAGCCACCGCGCCCAGCCCTTATTTATTTATTTAATTAATTGATTTATGTATTTGTTTTTTTGTTTGAGATGGAGGCTCACTCTGTCGCCCAGACTGGACCGCAGTGCTGCGATCTTGGCTAACTGCAACCTCCACCTTCCATGTTCAAGAGATTCTCCTGTCCCACCCTCTGGAGTAGCTGGGATTACAGGCACGCGCCACTAAGCCCAGCTAATTTTTGTATTTTTAGTAGTGATGGGGTTTCACCATGTTGGCCAGGCCAGTCTCGAGCTCCTGACCTCAAACGATCCTTCCACCTTAACCTCCCAAAGTGCTGGGATTACAGTCATGAGCCACCGCGCCTGGCCTTATTTTTTTATTTTTTTATTTTTTGGAGACATAATCTTGCCCAGGCTGGAGTGCAGTGGTGCCATCTCGGCTCACTGCAACCTCTGCCTCTTGGATTCAAGCCATTCTCCTGCCTCAGCCTCTCAAGTAGCTGGGATTACAGGCGCCCACCACCACGCCTAGTTAATTTTTGTATTTTTAGTAGAGCCGGGGTTTCACCACATTGGCCAGGCTGGCCTTGAACTCCTGACAAAGTGCTGGGATTACAGGCATGAGCCACGACATCCGGCCTGATTCATTTAGACCTGTTGTGTTCAAGGTAGCTGAGGGGATGTCCAGGCAGAACTTGGGCCTGAAACTCAGGAGGGACGTGTGGCCTGGAGGCAGGTGTGGCAGTGGCAGGGGAGGGAGGCTGCCGAGGGTTTCTTAGAAGTCTGTGCTGGGTGAGTAGGGAGCAGGCCTGTACCTCCTGCCCAGCTCCAAAGTTAATGCCTTCGTGAAAACACAAGCAGCTTCCAGGCAAGCACCTTGCCTGCATGTCCCTAGATCTGTATCCTCCACTCCCAAACCCCCACAAGGCAGCAAGGCAATGCATCCCTATTTCACAGATGCACAAGGTTGGCTGGGCGTGGCGGCTCACACCTATAATCCCAGCACTTTGGGAGTTCCAGGCAGGCAGATCACTTGAGGTTAGGAGTTCCAGACCAGCCTGGCCAACATGGCAAAAACCCGTCTCTACTAAAAATACAAAAATTAGCTGGGGCCAGTCATGGTGGCTCATGGCTGTAATCCCAGCACTTTGGGAGGCCAAGG